CACCCCGTGGACACAGCTCTCTGCCCGTACGGCCAGGAGGCACGGGATAAATCCTCTGCAGGGACAATTCTGAGGTGCAAGTGACTGTTTAGTGAATGAAATAGGAGTGGACGAATGAGCGCGGACACACTAAGCTCCTGTTATATTTCTCACAGCAACGGGGGTGGGGGGGATGTGCAGGAATACATTCACATATACGCTGCTTTTCGCGTACTACGTGAATTGCTTATAATGTGTGTAAGTAGTATACACACAATAAAACCAAAGTGAATATACTAGGAGAAAATGCAGATGAATTCTGATCTCTTGGACAGGGAAAGGCTTTTCTAAGCCCACTGTCCATGGGATAATAACGACCACTGGCGTGGACGGAGCGATTACCGTGTTTCATTTCAGTCACTGTTCTAAATGGTAAACACAAATGAGCTCATTTCATCCTGAAATTCACCAACATTTTCGTTGTGGTTATCTTTCATAGGGAGACACGATTGGTATTCCTTTTCCTTTCCATATTTGCCCGTATAGTTTTTCTATTTTCGACAACGTGCACGGATTGCCTTTGTGAACAGGAAAAAAAAAAAAAAACCCAACAAAAAACTAAGAAAGCTCTTCAGCAATTGTTGTTCAGAAAAACCTCTCATTAGTTCCCGAGTAAACTACTTTGCCAAAGTTTAAATTATCCCGCCCTATTCATCGGAGGCCGATCTTACCCCTGAATGTGCTTCTAATTGGCACCTTTCCTTGGTGCAGTTAGGATTGGGATGAAGTCCCCGAAGTCACCGAGCCTGGGGACCCAGGCTAACGACTGTGGGGCCAGCGCGGCACAACCCTGCCTGTCTTCGTGACTTTGAGCTGCCTCCCAAAAGCAATCCTGTCTAAATTGCATATGTAATGCTCGTCCTCCATGGAAAGGTATTCCTCTAGAGGGCTACTGATGGTGTGCTTTCATCAGCATGTCACCAATATTACACAAGAAAATGTTTTGCTCTTCTAATCCGTCCAAGTATTCAAGTATGCATACACAGGCATGCGTGAACACACATGCGCGCGTGCGCACACGCACACACACACACACACACACAATGCATGCACACACAGGTAGATACTCCGGAGGCGCTCAGCACATCAGACTCTCATCTCCACAGCACCAGTTCTGGTCTAGACACTTCTGAGGGCATAGCGGGTGAGGCCTTCGCATGTCTGAATCAAAGACGGCTTCTGCGGAACGAAGTAAACATGTTTAAGAACACGTGAGGCACAATACGTAACGACCTAGGCTAAGAGGTGACAGGGCCAGGGTGCATGAATTCAAGGAAGGTGATGGTTAAATCAATAAGGATATTTTTAGCAGTTGCACGGTGCTCAACATCATTCCTGAATTCCTGAGCTTCAGATCAGTCTAGGCACCCGAACGTGGGTGTCCTGTGGGCGCATGGAACCCAACTAGCCCTGAAATGACCTCATGTTTTCCCCGCCGCCGCCCCCCCCCCCCCCCCCAAACGCTTCCTTCTCTTTCACTTGCTGTCTTGGTGGCAGGTATTTCCACAGCCTCCCACTCTCTCATCTCACCTCCCATCTAGTCAATCCCCCTAAATGTATCCCAGCCACCCTCCCTAGTCCACCTAAGGCCAGGCTGGCATCCTGTCTTAACTCAGAGATTCGTAAACAATAATATAAACGGAGCCACTTTAAAACGGAGCCGGAGCAGCCCTGCCAGAGGAGCGGCCTTGCAGGTCCTACTTCTCAAGCCTTTGCAATGTTGAAACAGGGCAAAAGAACCTTTGGACGGGGCCGAGGGCAACCCTGTGCTTCAAAGGGCTGTTTGCAGACATTTCAAGAAGGCAGATATTATGACTACTGGACTGAAAATGAAAACCATTGTTTAGCACAAATCATCACTGTGTCATGTTATCTGCACCAATACGCATGTCTTCCTTGGCTCTCCGCGGTGTAGCTCAGTTGGCTGGGCGTCGTCCGGCAAAGCGATAGGTCACCGGTTCGCTTCCCGGTCAGGGCGCGTGCCTGGGTTGTGAGCCGGGTCCCCGGTCGGGGCACCCGTGCGAGAAGCAACCGATCCTGACTCTCACACATGGATGTTTCTCTCCCTCTCTTTCTCCCTCCCCTGCCCTCTCTCTAAAAATTAGTAAGCAAAATCTTTAAAAACATGCCTTCCTTCTGTGGATGTAATTGCTCCCCTTCTCTCTCAGTAATACCCGTTGCCTTTGTCTCTTATCGGAACAGTTTTTGGGCTTCTGTCTGCATTTATAAATCCCTAATAGCTAAACGTATTGATCTCAAATAAATGCTTATTTGTCTCTCACTTTGGAAGGCCTCCTTGTTCGTAGGCTAACAGGTTCGTGGGCCCCTTCCCTCTGGGAAACGCCCCTAATGCTGGCGGAGGGGCGGGGGTGGGTAGTGTATTATCTCCACTTCACTTCTGACCTCCTCACCCCTTAGCCTCACAGAGGCCCTGGGCATAGGGCTGGACCCATGCCGTGTCATGCTCCACCTGCCGGAGCCCTACCACACTGCCTGGGAGTGACGGGACTTCCTGTCTTTGCCCAGCCCCGCACTCCCGCAGCCAAGGCTCTGCGTGCATCTGTACATGGGCGTATGGGGCCTGTCAGGGACATTCCCACTAGATTTGCCTTAAGCGGGAATTGGACCAAGGCGGTAATCAAAACGGGGCGATGAACTAAATGGCATTTGAGCTGTGCCTTTAAAGGAAGAGTGAAGATTAGATAACTGGCAAAAAAAAAAAAAAAAAAGTGGGAGAGGGCATTGCTAGGAAGGGGTCTGCTTGGGTGAAGAAGACCCCAGTACCTTTGCCTTTCAAAACTCTTCATTACGGAAATTACACATCCACACACAGGAAGAGAGGATAGTATTTAAAACGCACACCTACCCTTCACCCAGCTTCAACATGTGTTAACCTGTCACTAGTTCACCTTGAAGGAAAGGAAGTATTTCGGGGTGAGAGTAGGGGCAGTTACTATTTCTCGAAGCCATAGAAGAAGAAGCACCCACTTAAGCCTGTCCAAAGAGAAGGGTGCCCATGCACCCCTTTAGGAGGGCGTCACATGGCCCCGAATCACAGAGCCCGCGTTGCGCTGGAGTGGGTAATGTGGGCAACACACAGCTACTGCTCTGGTCGCCGTCTGTCTCGCTCTCACTCCCGTTCCCTCTGTCCGTAGCTGTAGCCGTATGGCTTCCATTTAGCGATCGCCACACCCTTCCAGACACCGGAACCTATCCCAGCTCTAAGGGCACCGAAGGACATGCAACCTGAGGGGAGAGAGCAACGTGGAAGGACCCAGTACTCCATCAAACTGGCTGGTCCTTGCTGCCATTGATTCGGCATCCTGCATGCCAGGGGCTGGGCCAGGCATCACTTTGCGTGCTCTGTCCACGCAATCCTCGCCACAGTCCCACAAGGTGTGCGATAGTATCGCCCCATTTGATAGCAGCATGAGCCTCTCTTGGGGCGTAGCATCCATGGAGCACTGGATTGTCCCCAGGAATTTGCTGGTGCGTAAGCTTTTGGGCAGAGCTCCTTAGAGGGCTCTCCTGTTTTCACCATCTCTCAGGGACTTGCTGGGGCCTTGGCGCTGACCAAAAGGCAAGTAGGGCTGGGCACTAGAAGAAATGACCCACATGGTTGCCATTCTTCAAGCTCTGCCACTCCCTCTGAGGAGTGCCCCCTCCGGTGGCTCTGAGGGCTTCTTTGCCGTAGAAGGCGGGGTCATCGCCTAGGCGTGATGAGGTAGGTAGGAGGAGCTGCCGATCGAGGGGAGCAGGCAAGGCTGGAAACAGCTGATGCTCACAGAGTTCTTCTGCGTGTCAGTTCGGAGTCCTGTTTTGGGCGTAAGCTATAAGGAAGTGTGCCGTTGACTGAAAGTGAAGTCCAGGGGGCGATGGTCATCATGCCGGTTTAGTTGTCCAATGAAGGGTCATCGAGGACCCAGCCCCCTCTTTTAACAGAATGTGGGTGCTCCTAGGTTTGGTGACAAATCACTTCTTCCTATGAAGGGCTCATAACAACTGCGTGTTTTGTTTTGGTTTTTTAAAGTTCTCTTGGTGCCTCATCCCCCAGGCTAATTTGTGAGCTCCTCGAGGCAGGGACCGTGTCTTGGGCTTTTCTGTATCCCCAGAGCTATGCCCAGTGCCTGGCACACACGAGGTGCTCGATCATTCATTCATTTATTCATTCAGTAATTATTACTTGCTGAGTGCCCTGACGGAGGGAATCTCAGGGATCCGTGGCACGTAGCCCAGCCTGCGGGGTGGAAGTGGGGTCAGCAAATAGTTTCTCGAGATCAGTACGTCTGACCTGGGTCCTTGGATCGCAGAGGCCTCAGCTCAGCAGGGCATTGAAGGCTTTCATTCCATTAGCAAGTAGGGTCCGAAGATGTGCCAAGCCCACGGGGGCTCACAGTCCACCTACTGCTTATTGAATACCCGTCCTGTGCCAGGCCCTCTGCTAACAGAGATTAATCATAGTTCTTGCCTTCAAGGGGCCTCCAGGCCAGCCCGGAGGCGGCCGAATCGTTTCAGTACTGGGTGATGAGCAAGCACGTGGGGCCACAGCGGAGAGGCGCCTCGCCAAGCCACGCCCGGCAGGTCAGGCTGCAGGAGGGGTAGGCTGCACGGGCTGCCAGGAGCCAGTGGCCCTTGAGCCGGTGGAAGGAGGAGGAGTCCCCCGGCCCAGAGGCTGGGCTGGGGCAGGGAGTGAAACGTCTTAGCGAGGGTGGCGAGCGGGATGGGGGTGGAACCGGTCCCAGGCCCCCGGCGCTGCTGCTTTGGCTGCTGCTGCTCTCGTTTGCATTGCTGCATCTCTCCTGATCTCGAGGTCGTGTTCTGGTGGTGCAGGATTCAGTGTCTGGGCTGGCTCTGCCTTTCCACTTCTTCCCTTTACCCAGGTCGGACTTGGGAGCTCCTTGTTTTTCTGTCCTCGCTAACTCTTTGGCCGGAGAAGTGGCTGCCTAAATGTTTTGTTTGGGTCATCTCATGACCTTCGTCCTGTCCGTGTTCATGTCTCTGACAGTGTTCCAGATGATGAACGTAATTGTCCATGAAGGGACAGCAAAACAGCCCCGAACTGCCGCCTTTCGGAGAGCCTTAGGATTCGTTCCATCTGTGTGACCACGGAAAAGGCGGTGGTAAGGTTCAGGCGCACGCACAAGCAGGGAGCAGCCCTCAGAGGGAGGAGGGGAGCCGCGGGGTGTGCCGTGGACATGACCGACTGGGTTCTCGTAACCTCGTAGGCAGGTTAGTCCCGGCGGACTCCACTTTGCCCCTCGCCTGGCACGAGGCTGCCGCCTCATCTGGTTGTGGCTCTCCAGGAGCCTCCTGAGGCCACCCTTGACTTCCTTGTTCCTGAGGCTATATGTAGATCATGGGGGTAGAGCATGGGAGTTACATTGGTGTGGATTCAGGACACGGCTTTGTCCTGTTCCGGGGTGTAGCATGACTTGGGGCGAATGTAGACGAATATTGCGCAGCCACAGCGCGGAAGAGAGACCAGCAGGTGCCCCGCACAGGTGGAGAAGGCTTTGCTCCTGCCCTCAGCCGAGTGGATTCTGAGCATGGCAGCGACAATGGCTCCACAGGAGAGCAGTATCAGCAAGGAGGGAATCACCCGGGTGAGCGTGCAGAGCAGGAAGACTGCAACCTCACTGGCTTGCGTGCCTGAGCAGGCCAGGAATGGCACGGCAGGGATGTCACAGAAGAAATGCTTGATCTCACGGGGCCGACAGAAGGGCAAGAGGGGCATTACTGCGTGCGCTAAGGGCGAGTGAGAGCGCAAAGCCACTGACGCGTGCCACAGCCCGCATCTGCCGAGCGAGGGCCCTGGCGATGGTGAGTGTGTAGCGCAGAGGGTTGCAGATGGCTACAAAGCGGTCACAGGCCGTCACCGCTAGGAGGAGACACTCCGCTCCTCCCAGAGCAGATGAAGGGGTGCCTTTGCAAGGCACAGCCCCGGATGGGCATCCGCTGGCTGCTGGACAGGAAACTGGCCCGCATGCTGGGGACAGCGACCGAGATGCAGCAAATTTCCACGGCGGACTGATTGCGAAGAAAGAAGCACATGGGGGTCTGGGGGCAGCAGTCAGCGAGGGTGATGGGCGCAATGGTTGTGTGCCCTGCTAGGGTGACGAGATGCGTGATTAAAAGGGGCCCGGGAAAGAAGATTTGCAGTTCGGCCAGATCCCCAAGGCCCAGGACAACGAACCCGGAGCTTAAGGTGGGGTTTTTCTGCGGTGGGGCCGTGCTATATTCCCTGCCGTAGAACTCCCGGGCCGGAAATGGCAGTTTGCTAGCAACTCTGCAGGGTGTGGGAGACCCTGGAGCCCTTCTCACAGGTGGGACTGTAGGCAGCTCTCCAGGACCTCCAACCCACTTTGCCGGGCCTGGCCCTGGTCCACGTTCTGCGAGCTTCTTGAATTCTGCCCTCTGCTCGCTGGGAATAAAGAGCTGCCCATTGTGATGCCACTGTAGTTCAGCCGGTGAGTTATTACAAAACACGAACCGAGATAAGTAAAGCCCGCACACAAAGTTGTCTTACGTGCCGAAGAGTTGTCTGCGGGAGGCGGTGGGCGTGGGGTGGGAGGCACTGAGGTTGATGTTACTAAACCCGTTGAAATAGAGGGGGGCTGGCCCTACAGGGTCATTGACCTTACAGGGAATCCCTGTAGGATAGAAGGCCTGGCATGTTGATATTAAACACGTTTTGACTTTGTACATTGGCTCTGCTGTCCCTCCTTTCCCGCCACCACCCCCAAATCCCCAGGGTTCCTGCAGCCGAAGGGCTGTGAACACAATGCCCAGAGAGGAAGAAGTGTAACCGGCAATGGCTGCTGCCTGTCCTGTTCCAACGCTCCTCAGTTGCAGGGAGGCCCCGGCTGCCCTGACACCTAAGCTGAGTCAGTCCCTCCCTTAGGGATCAACAGCACTCCTGGCTTCCCGACCCGTATTACTTACTACCGAGTCCTGTAATTCTTTGATTATGTCTCTGTCTACCTCCAACGCCCGTGAGCTGAGCTCCATGATGGCGAGAGTGGTGTCTTGTTCAGGCTCTCAAGTAGTGGCTGCCACACATCAGAAGCATCAGTGAATGTTTGTTGAATAAACTGCCTGTCGCTTTCTTCTGCGTCCTCTACGGTTAGGACAGCATCAGGCACGGAGTAGGTGCCTAACGCATACGCTCCAATAAATGATTGCGTGAAAGCAGAGGATCATTGACGTGTTGGGGATGGCTGAGGTCATGATCGTCCAGGGAGGGCGTAGAGTGTGAAGGGCGCAGGGCAGGCCAGGTCACGGGGTAGGAGCCAACAGGACGGAGCTGAGAGTCGGGGTGGAAATGAGAACTCTCGGGGCAACGGGGCGTTGAGTGCCTGGCAGGACAGTGGCTTTGGCTGCTCTGCGTCCGGGCCGTGGGAGCAAGGGGATGAGGCCAGGCAGCTTCCTGGGCTAGAGGGGCACACGTTTGCTTCGTTCTCCCCTTGGCCGGACCCAAGTTACAAGTAGGGAGCCCTTGTGTTTAGCCTTCGGTTTCTTCCCGCGCATCCCTCCCTCACAGCAGAAGAGAGGAGAAGGTTTCTGGAGATTCTAGAGAGCTAACACATCCAGAGTTAATAGGAGGTAAGGGTCCCGTGGAAGTGGAGTTGTCACCTAAAGGACAGGCACTCGCTTAGGGGCATACAGTTTCTCCCAGGGCCGCTGAGCCTCAAAGAGGGCTCAGTGAAACCTGCAAATCCATGCTGACGATAGGCCTAGACGATCGTGGTGATTCCAATTTTGCAGTCACTTGCATGATACACTGAGTACTGTTTTGGTTTCTATTGGCCTAATGGGCAGCTGGAGCCTTTGAGCTGGACGGGCCCCTAGAGGGCAACTTGCCCACTCCTCCCTTCGGAACAGATGGTCATGAAGTCTCCGGCCTCATCCCCGGCCCTGTCCAGAAATCACACAGCCCAGCCTGGCTTTCCTCCTCTGCCCCCTTCCCCCCTCCCCCAGCCCCTTGCTCGTCCCGGTGTCACATAGCTGTCTGGGAGCGTGAGAGCCGGCTATCCTGGGTCCGTGGCTATCTTCCCTGGACTTGGGCCTTTGTCTTTAGCTTTGACAGCCCGACTCACTTCCACTCTTTTCCCCAGGAAACAATGCGGGGACTTCTCGTTTTATTTGCGCCCTAAGCCTTGAAAATATTGAGGAATCACAAAAATGAAAGGAAAACTCACACGCGATCCAAGTGCTGAAAAAGCGAGAAGTGAGAGGCGACGTGAAAGTTTCTGCTCCTTCGGTGCTCCCCACTCTCCCAGAGAGAACCATTCGCAGCTGTGAGGTCCAGTTCCTCCCGTGCTTTGTCCTGTGCCTATAAACACACATACCTCACACACACATGGACACGCGCGCACACTCTCACGCATCGACACAAAACAGGCATGCCCATGCATATGCACGCATGCACACTCATAAGCACACACAACACACGCATGCATGCGTGCACGGACACATACATGCACGCGCGCACATAGAGACAGGTTCGCGCACTCTGCTGCCTTCTACAGTATGGACGCACCATAAGGCAACGACTTATAATTAAATAATAATAACAAATAAAGCCTATAAACAGAAGCAACTTTAAAAGAACCAAAAGATAATTCAATCAGTCTTGTATTGCTTTGGCATTGAAGGGGTTTCTATGGGTTTTTCGCACTCCGCACTACAACGTACATCCTCACGCAGAATGGAGGGCACCTGCCCCTCCGGGAACACGGCTGGTGTGTCCTCCCTGCTCTTTTCTCGTGTCCCTTGCACAGCCCTGGACAAACAGACTTGGTGTGACCTGGAAGGGGCGTGATCAGTGCATGACGTGGAAATCTGGGGAGAAGCCCCATCTGCTGTTAGTTGAGAAGCCCAAGAGGGAGGGACAGCCCATCTCTGGGAGAGCAGCGGCGGGGCCGAGCGGCCTGGACCTGGCGGCACCGCTTCCCAGAGGCCAGAAGGCGGCTTTCCTGCGTGTCTGGACCACAGGGAGCGGCCCTCAGAAGAACTTCCTGACGGCTATCGGGAAGGGAAGGGAGTGTCCTCAGGGCAGTTGCTACGTTCTGTCACTCCCGTTGTGGCAGAACGTGAAACGTGAAGGCAGGACTCCAGGAGTCCTAGAGGAGAGCTCAGGAAGGAGGCCGTCCCCATGGTCCACCCCACCGAGGGGAGTGCCTTCCCCGGGTCACGTAGCTCAAACCCAATTACGTACATTTGCTTTGCCAAAAACTACAGTGAAAGTGAAACTAGGCAACCCTCTTGCATCCCATGCAGGAATAAACTCAAAATGGATGAAAGACTTAAAGGTCAGACCCTAAACCGTAGAACTCCTGGAAGAAAACGTAGGCACTAAACTCTCTGACATTGCTCTTAGTGATATATTTTCTGATATATCTCCTCAGGCAAGGGAGACAAAAGAAAGCATAAACAAATGAGACTACGTCGAACTAAAAAGTGCTGGCACGGCAAAGGAATCCATCAACAGAAGGAAAGACGACCCACTGAGTGGGGGAATACACTCGCCAACGACGCACCAAATGAGGAGTTAATGCCCCAAATGTCTAATGAAGGCCTACGTTACCATTTTTCATTAAAACCAACGCCCCGCCTCAAGATCCAGTTTAAAAATGGGCAGAGGGCCCGAATAGACACTCCTCCAAAGAGGACCTGCAGATGGCCGATAGACACACGAAAAGATGCTCAGTGTCACCAATCGTCAGAGAAATGCCAGTTAGAACCACAGTGACATATCACCTCACACCTGTCGGACTGCCTGCCATCGATAAATCCACAAACAGCAAGCGCGGGCGACGATGTGGAGAAAAGGGAACCCTCGTGCACTGTTGGTGGCATTGTAACCTGGTGCGGCCACTGCGGAAAGCAGTATGGAGGTTCCTTAAAAACTTAAAACTGGAACTACCTCATGACCCAGCAGTTACACTTCTGGGCATTTTTCCAAAGAATTCCAAATCACGAATTCAAAAAGATCAATGCACCCCTGTGTTCATAGCCAAGATATGGAAGCAACCTAAGTGCCTGCCCATCAACAGAAGACTGGGTAAAGAAGATGTGGCACACATGTACAATGGACTGTTACTGGGCCATTAAAAAAGAACACAAGGAAATCTTACCATTGTGACAACGTGGATGGGCCTAGAGGGCATTGTGCTAAGTGAGATAAGTCAGACAAAGACAAATACCGTATGATTTTACTCCTATGTGGAATCTAAAGAACAAAATATGCGCACCAACAAAACAGAAACAGACTCGTGGATGCAGAGAACAAGGGGACGGTTGCCAGAGGGGAGGAGGTTGGGGGCTGGGAGAAAGAGGGGAAAGGGTTTAGAAGTGCCAATTGGTACTTTGAAGGTAGTCACAGGGATGTAAAGTACAGCATAGGAAACGAGGTCAATAATGCCGTAATAAACTACCTACGGTGCCCGGTGGGTCCTAGACTTATCCGGGGGTCACTCGCTAAATTATATGAACGTCTGGCCACTATGGTGGACACCTGAAACTAATATAACATATATTGAGTGTCACCAGAAATTGGCAAATAAAAGTTTCTTGAAAAAAAATACGGAACATTTCCAGTACCCCGGAATGTTCTCTGCTGCCCCCCTCGTAGTCAGTACCACACCCCCAACACCGGAATTGACTGCTCTCTTGATGCACCAGCACCTTCTATTAGGTTCGTGTGTTCCTGAGCTTTCGAATAAATAGAGTCATGCTGTCAGAAAATACAGTGTGGGTCTTTGCAATGCTATTTCACTCAGACCTGCCTAATCTAAACATTCCCACCCCCACCCCGCCCTTGGGCAGTCACCAGCCTGTGACAGGGTCTCGGGCTCATTGTAGAGGCAGAAAACGTAGAGGTTTGGCTGGATTCAAATCAAGCGATCAAGCCTTGCTGGGGGGGAGCATAAAGTGGGCAATGGAGCCCAAGACTGGAGCTCTTTCAAGCCCCTCGAGGCCCTACGCTGCGATTCTGTTATTGTTTGTAATGGCTACAAGGGGGGCCTTATCCGGACTACCAGGGCCTCCACCTTTCGTGAAGACTTGTGTACACACACACACACACACACACGCACACATTTAATGAGTAATGTAACACAGGACATTGTACAATTCAAGCAATATGGAGATGAATAAAAAATGAGGGTGATTACCAACCGCCACCTCCCGTTTTTTAGGTGTCCATGGAGTGCAAAATCCCAGGCCCGTTCGCAAACATACCTAGATGTGTGCATATACCTACACACATATGTAATTTTGTCTTAGAAACACTGACACCAGGCTATACTTATTAGGTGGTACCTTGTGTTTTTACTCTTAAGCGTGACAACCATGTATAAAGGCTAAATTCATTTTTAACAGCCGCACACTATTCCATGCCATCAAAGTAGCTTCACTGAATGAAGTGGGGGAACAAGAGTCATGGAACCCTGAGAATGCTACTACTCAGCTGACCTAAACTGCCATCTAATTCTTTCATCTCCCCAGTCCCGGTCTAGGTGTAGCTCAATGTCTAACCTGCACCATGTTGTGCATCTTGGCAGCAGGACCCAAGATACTTCCGGGGTCCCCTGCCTTCACAAAGCAGCCTACACTTTGCAGGCCCTCTGGGCTGCCCACCGCCGGTCTTCATTCTGTTCGCCTCCATTGCCCACAGGGCTTTCTCGGAAAAGCCCCCTGACCACTACTGCCCTTCTCAGAAACACCCGTGCCCAAGCCAGAGCCATTGCCACGTCTCAGAATCGTCTGGTCCTCGGAGGACCAGCGCAGTGCTGGGGTCTAGGCAGCAGCAGGAAGAAGGCCCTCGTTCCAGCACTTCGCCACCCCCGTAAAGGGAAACAGCACCCCCAAGCAGCCCGGTCTGGGCTTAGAATCACACACAATCCCCTTGAATCACTCCAGTACTTTCTGCCTCTGATGCTGACCCTGAGAGGCTTCCAACAGTCCGAGGTGGGTGTGTGCCACTTTTCCGGCCCTTCCGCCTTCCT